GATCAGTGTGTTGGGGGGGGTGGGATTAACACAGACACCCTCAGGAGGTGGGAGGCCCGTGGATGTGGGCTTTGGGGGGGATTTCAGGCAGGGCTGCCTGCTCCCCCCACACCCTGGAGCCACCTCCCACGCGGCGATGAGTCACAGCCGCAGTGGGCTGCCCTTCAAGTGCAGACTCCAGGGTTTTGTTTTCTTTGCTCGGGCTTGGTGCTGGTCATGTGCAGCCCAGGGTATTAATAGAGCCGCGGCCGGGCCTTCGGAATCTTGCTGCTGGTCAGGGAGATAAATGAAAGCTTTCGCCTGACCCTTGGGGTCCAGTTTTGTTTCTCTCTTGACTGTCACGTGCTGGTTAAGGGCAGAGCCAAACCAGACAGGCAGAGAGCATTTGGTGTGGTCTCTGGCCATGGCCGTGGCCCCTAATGGCAAGTAGGTTTCTTGCCTCTCTTAGCAGCACGTCGAGGGTCCTGACTCCCCATCTTGGGGCACCAGTGCTAACCAGAGCAAGCCAGCTTCACCTGCTCCTCCCAGACAGGTGGCTGCCACTCCCCCTGCCTGTGAAAGACGCATAGGCCAGGCAGCAAAGGGGTGTGGGTTGTGGATTTTTTTTTCCCCTCTTCTTCTTCTTCTTCTTCAATTTAAAGTAAATTAAGTTCAGGAAATTAAAAGTCTATATTGTGGTTTGACAGGCTCCTAAAAGACTCCATGGGGACGTTTTGAAACAAATGCCTTAGAAGCAACGGCCTGGGGCATTGATCCCAGAGTTTCAGTTCTTCCTTGCAACTCAGTCCTCCTCCCCCCCCCCGCAAAGAAACCTTTTATTAATGAGTACAAATTTCATAAATACAACTTTAGGAATATACTGGTTCTTCCACCATACTCACCCTCCCACATCCACTGTCACCCCTCCTCTTCCTCCCTTTCCCATTCCCAGCCCCAGTCTCCATTAAGATTCATTTTCAATTAACTTTGTACACAGAAGACCAACTCTATACTAAGTAAAGATTTCAACAATTTGCACACACACACACACACACACACAAAACTGAGAACAAGTTTTACAGTTAATTCTCATAATACAGCTCATTGAGATAGAGGTCCTGCATGGGAAGAAAGTACACAGTGACTCCTGTTGTTAATTTAGCAACTGACACTCTTATTTATGACGTCAGTGATCACCCGAGGCTCTTGACATGAGCTGCCTAGGCTATGGAAGCCTTTTGAGTCCACAGTCTCTGTCAGTATTTGGACACGGCCACAAGCAGAGTAGAAGTTCTCTCCTCCCTTCAGAGAAAAGTACATCCTTCTTTGATGGCCCCTGCTTTCCACTGGGGTCTCACCCACAGAGATCCTTCATGTAGGACACTTTTTTTGCCACACTGTCTTGGCTCTCCATGCCTGAAATGCTCTCATGGGCTTTTCAGCGAGACCACACATGTGTTAGCAATTTTGCTTTGAGGATAAAAGAAGGATTCAGAATGCAGTAACTCCAGTTATTATCATTATTCCTTCTGGTTGTCCCTAATGAGAGTGGTAGGACTAGGACAAACTCCTTCAAGAAACACACCTTTCTCTAGCACCTGCTTCGTGCCGGGTCATGTGCAAAGGACTGTATGGGCATTCTCTCATTTCAAGCTCGCAGCAACCTCGGGGGGCTCCTAAGTATTATTCAAAGAGAAGAAGAAACTGGGGCACCAAGAAATTCAGTGAGTTGCCCATGAACACAGAGGAAATCAGTGATCAAATCAAGACTTGAACCTAGGGCTAAAAACCCCAGGATCCTAGTTCTCAGCCACAGGGAACTCATGGCCTGAGTGGAAAGAGGTAGACAGAACATCCATCCCTGAATTTTCCTCTCTTCCTGTGAAACAGGTGCAACAAGACGTTCCAGTTAATAGACTTGTTCATTGAATGCTGCATAAACAAGAGACATCTGGAGAGCAGTCATCACTTCCTTGGGGGTAGCGGGAGGTTGTATAATGGGTGCCCAAACGCAGTCAGACACAAGTGACAAGCTCTAGTGTTCCACAGCACAGTAGGGTAACTGTCTCACAATACGGTATTGTATTCTGTGTAAAGAGCTGGCAGAAAGGAGCTGGTAAGCTCTAAACACAAAGAAAAGATGAGGAAATGGAAAGGCTAGCTGCCCGGCTTGATCAGTGTACACCTTGTGTGCGTGTGGAAATACTACCCTGGACCCCCATAAAAGTGCACACGTATTAGCAGGAATCCAAACATTGGAAAACGAAAATTAATGACGAGGGAGGGAGGGAAAGAAAGAATCCCCCCTTCCTTGGAGAATGCCTGTGGTTGCAGAACAGGGAGCTCTTAGGCGCCTTGAGAGCAGTGGATGCCGGTGGAGAGCAAGTTCAAGGTGGGCAGCAGAACCCCACCCCGCAGGGTGATTATGCAGGTCGTGGGAGGTTTTGTTCCCTTCAGAGTTTGTGGGCTTCGCTTGCTGAAGTGGGACTCACAGAAGGGATTAGCCCTGGCTGCGGCCAAAGCTCTTTACATTTAAAAGAAAAGAAATAAATAAAGCCATTGACTCTGCAGCCTGATTCTGGGTTTTGAATTGCCCCCATGTGTCTTTCACTCTGAGCACCTGGGGTGGGGGGAGGGGGCTGCCTGCCCTTTACCTCTCCCTGTGGGTCTGTATCTACTGGTCACGTGACTCAGAAGTGACGATTGGAGGAGAAAAGTATCTCTGTGTTCTAAGCCTGGCACTGTCTATTTTTATCCACAGCTGTTGGAACTGATAGCGAAGTCACAGCTCACATCCCTGAGTGGCATCGCCCAGAAGAACTTCATGAACATTTTGGAGAAAGTGGTACTGAAAGGTGAGCTCGCTCGCTCGCTCGCTCGCTCTCACTCACTCACTCTCACTCTCGCCCTTTTTGTAGACAGGGGGTCAGGCAGGTGGATTCTTCCCATAGCGTGGTCGTGTGGTTAGAAATAAAAGAATGGGAGTGGATGGGAGTGCACAGCTCAGCTGCACTCCAGGGGCCCAGATCCCATTTCAGAAGGGGACACAGCTCACGCCCACCACCCGCCTCTCCTTTGGTCCGGATCATCCATTTGCCCTGTTTAAAGCCTTTAGGCTTCTCCGAGTAGGCACATGCCCCGCGCTTGGTGACGGAGCCTCCAGATTCCTAGACAGCTGAGCCACATCCGAGGCAGACTAGATCCAGGGACTAATCGAACCAGCCAGCACCTTAGGTGTCTGGTTCAGCTGCTTTCTGTGGTGAAGCTGAGGCCCCTAAGAAGAAGTGATTTGTTCTTAACTACTCAGCCTGGCAGGATTAGAACCCAGGCTCAGGGCTGGCGTCGCAGCTCACTAGGCTAATCCTCCACCTGAAGCGCTGGCACACCGGGTTCTAGTCCCAATCGGGGCACCGGATTCTGTCCCGGTTGCCCCTCTTCCAGGCCAGCTCTCTGCTGTGGCCAGGGAGTGCAGTGGAGGATGGCCCAAGTGCTTGGGCCCTGCACCCACATGGGAGACCAGGAGAAGCACCTGGCTCCTAGCTTCAGATCAGCGTGGTGCGCCGGCCACAGCGCACTGGCCGCTGCGGCCATTGGGGGGTGAACCAACCAACAGCAAAGGAAGACCTTTCTCTCTGTCTCTCTCTCTCTCACTGTCCACTCTGTCTGTCAAAAAAAAAAAAAAAAAAAAAAGCCTCCAACCCCCAGAACTAAGTCTCAGAAGGCAAAAGAAAAAAACCCACACTGCTTTCCGATCAAGTGAGCCCTTGGTGTAGAGGGAGCGATGAAACAAGAAAGGGGCTTGACAGAAAACCGGGGAGAGCAGAACAAAGAGAGCCCTAGATCACGGAAACTCGACCCTATGGAAGCTTGCCAAGTGTCGGATAAACACCAGTGGGAAAGAAAACCACCTCCCCAGAGGCCGTGCCCAGAGTAACAGGAGCAGAATGAAGAAGACAGGCCCCATTATCAAACAGAGTTGTCCCCCGGGCATAACACGAATTCTTGTTCCGCTTCCCCCACTCCAGTCCTTGAAGACCAGCAAAACATCAGACTGATAAGGGAGCTGCTGCAGACCCTGTACACGTCCTTATGCACGCTGGTGCAGCGAGTCGGCAAGTCCGTGCTGGTCGGGAACATCAACATGTGGGTGTACCGCATGGAGACCATCCTGCTCTGGCAGCAGCAGCTCAGCAGCATCCAGATCACCAGGGTAAGCGGGGGCCAGGCCTTGGAATCCACGCTGGCCGTGCAAGGGTCTGGTCTGGCTGAGCTGATGCTCTGTGCTGGTGCCGAGGTGGGCCAGGGCCTCCCTGACAGGGGCAAGGTGGGAGGAAGAACTTGGCTAAACACGACGCATGGATGTGAAAGAAGGCAGCCAGCCGACACGTCAGGGGGGAAGACAGAAACTTGGCTTTTGGGGGCTGTGCTGGCCGGCCTCCTGATTTTTTGTATTGTTATCTTTATTTATTTACTTACATTTATCTTAAAGGCATAGACCTCCCATCCCCAGGGTTCACTCCCCAACTGCCTGCAGCACTTGTGGCTGAGCCAGGCTGAAGCCAGGAGCCAGAAGCTCTATCCGGGTCTCCCATGTGGGTGGCTGAGACCCAAACACTTGAACCATCACCTGCTGCCTCCCAGGGTGCACACTACCAGGAAGCTGGAGTTGGGATGAGAGCTGGGACTTCATCCAGGCACGCTGATATGGGAGGCAGACATCCAAACAGTCTCTTTTTCTTCTTTCTTTCTATGATTGCTTGATTGGTTTAAAAGGTGGCGTGACAGAGAGGCCGCAACAACCAAAGCTATGCCAGGCCAAAGCCAATTACTCCATCTGGGTCCTCCACATGGGGGCAGGGACCCAAGCACTTGGCCTTCATCTGCTGCCTTTCCAGGAGCACCAGCAGGAAGCTGGGTCTGAAGCAGAGTGACCAGGACCCGAACCATTATGGGATGTGGCTATCCCAAGGCTGGCTTAACCCGCCGCATGGCAACACCCACCCAGCCAAGGGGCATCTTACCCACTGTGCCCCAGTCCTCCTGCCCTTTAGCTCGGTTTGGAGCCCTCTTTGCCCATTCCCTCATAAAGAATGAGTTTGAGGCTCTAGAATGTTCTAGAATGCAGCCTTGAATAGAATAGAGCCTGGAGAACTGGTACTAGACCTTTAAAATTCTAAATGCCATTCCTGGCAGTTATGACAAAGGAAGCCCTTGATTGCAAACTCTGAACTGCGAATATAAATGTAGGCAAATGATGAGCAAGTCTCACTCAAGGCAAAAATGAATTTTTTTAAGGAAAAGTTTATTTGGGTGCAAAGACAATTTGAAATCTATACTTGTTATTTTTCATAATATGAATTTTCCATGTACCATGAAGAACTTTATATTCTCTTTAACTTTTTTAAATATTTTATTTTTAGGATAGCTTTAAATTTACAACACAAAAAAATGTGAGGTAGTAATACAAACAGTATATACAAACATATACCCCTCACCCCATTTCTCCTTTTAAAATCTGTTGTCACACTTAATGTCACACACCCAACTTTTCCCCTAATTTTTTTATTCAAAAACCTTTATCCCTCACATCCCCCTTAGCCTCTGGTAATCAGCATCCTGTGTTCAGACTGAGGTTTGCTTTTCTTTCTTTTTTTTTATTTTACTCCCATAGCTAAGAAAAAAACATGCAGTCTCTGTCTTCCTCTGTCTGGCTTCCTTCATTCAACGTGATGTCTCCTGTCCCATCCATTTTGCTCCAGATGACAGGCTCTCGTCCTTTTTCATGACTTAATAACAGTCCATTTTCTTTATCCATTCACCTGTTAATGGATGCCTTGGCTGACTCCACATTTTGGCTATTGAGAGCGGTGCATCTTTAACCATGGCAGAGCGGGCTTCCCCCTGATACACTGTGTTCAAGTCTTTTGGGGATACACCCAGTAGTGGGATTGCTGGATCATATGGCAGTTCCATTCCTAGTTTTTTAAGATTTCTTCAGTCTTTTCAATGAGAGGTGCTGGCAAAATTAGATGTATATATGTAGAAGAATGAAATTAGATCCCTACCTCTTACCATAGACAAAAATCACTCAAGGTGGATCAAAGAACTAAAGGAAAAAAAAAGTCCTCAGGTTACCAGCAGAGCATGGCGATCTAAATCAGTAGTTTCTTTGGGCTTTCAAAACAAAACGTGGCCCTGGAGGCTGGGGACTTCTAGTGGGCGGGGGGCTGAGGCATACGGACATGTAGGAAAGATGCTGGGGTCATCCTAAGGCTCCAGAAGACACACCCACTTAGGCAGCTCACACAGCACGCTGCTTCCTAATCTAATCACTGACTCTGGCTGCCTCAAGAGGCTTCCGGGACCCACGCTGATAGAGCTTGGAGCTGCCCCGTATCAAGAGCAGGTGGCCTGAAGAAAGGGGTCTCTGACCTCTTTTAGACAAGTGTCCCACGGTAAGAAGTCTTCAAATGCACAGCCTGAACTTTGCTGCGTGTGGCCTCTCCGTGCCTTAGTTTCTGAAGCTCTGAAACAGAATCACTGGAGGCCTCCGAGTTGTGTGCCCCTGTTAGAGTCACGCACTCACACACACACACACACACACACAAACACACACACGCACAGAGGCGGTCACCTCTCAGGAACTACCCGTTATGTGATTGTGAATACGTATTACACACAGTCGCCTGACTGGCTCCAATCATTTACCCCATGTCCACCCCTCAAGTGTGGGCGAGTTTGACAGTGCCAGTTTCAGACCCAAATCCCTTCTCTCGCACAGCAAGCCCACGTACACCCTCTCCCTGAACTCTGGCCGCCTCTGTGGCCTGGATTCAGTGCTTACTGGTTTTTCTAAATCCAAGAGAGATTGCCCAGCCAAGAGATAGAAATGGACAAGTCTCATTTGTCCTGCGGGCATCTTCCCGCCCCCGCCCCCACCCCCAGCAACTTTGGGACAACTGTTCCAAGAGCTGCCCTTGCCCACACAGCTTGTCGCCGGCCCTTCCAGCCCCCACTTGGCCAGCACCCACACCTGGTACTTCCATGGGCTGATTTCCTCAGACACCTTGCTTTCTTTGGAAATGGCCATCGTAGTGACTGTTACCCTTCATGGGGATGAAGATCAGGTGGGGACCAGAGACACCCAGTGACTTTCCCAGCATCACACAGCACTTGGGACCAGACCCAAGGCCAGAACCCTGGACTCCTGATTCCTAAAATGGCAAAGCTTACTTGACAGTAGTGGTTTCCAAACATTTTTTTCATTCTAGTTTTCTTTCCAACTATGTACCCAATGATCCAGCATTTTTTAAGCCTTATTAATCCAACGAAATCCCATGCAGAAGAGATCAAACACTGACGTTCCTCTGACTCTCCCTCTGCGCGGGGCACCCCAGCCAAGGCCAGCTGCTCTCTGCACGCTCTGAACTTGTCCCAGCCTCAGGGCTTTTACTTTTGCTCCTTCCCTGACCACCCAGTCTACTAAGCCACTCTCCTGTCCCTTCTTCAGCGCAGTTAGAGCAGTCTGAGGTTACCTAATGTGTATGTACTCTCTTGCCACGCTGGCTTACAAAGCCCACAAAGGAAGGGCATTCACCCATCTCACACCCTCGGCCAGCCCAGAGCAGTGGGCAGTCAGCAAGTTCTGGTTGAATGAATGAGTGGCAGAAGCAAGGGGGGTCTCCTCCCACCGCCTACGGAAGCATGCGTTGCGTGTTCAAAGGACACAGTTGGACAGTGTCATCCTCTGTTGTGGATGACGGTGACAATGCACCAACCGCGGGATTGGAGGCAGCTTATTCTCTCTCCATGCCTCATTTTTCCTCATGTGGAAAATGGGGGCAACGATGCTTCCCTCACCACGGCCCTCAGGTGAGATGGGAGAAGTTACTAGAGAGAAAGCTTTGGGAACAGTGTGGGCTGTGCAGTGTTAGAAGGGTGTCGGCCATTATTATGGAACAGGGTGGGGAGGGTTGACAAACACTGAAATCATAGCAACCTCGTTTTCTAAGCGAGAAAAATTAGGACTGAGTGGTGAGGAATACTTCGGCCGAGGCCTCAGCGCTGGTGGGATGCGGCACGGGGATTGAACCCAGGCCTGTCCGCCGGGGCTGGGCTTTCAGCCACCACACCCTCCCTCTCGCCTCAGGTGCTGCATTTGTGGAGAGCTCTCCCGGATCCCTGTGGAGCCCCGAGAGGCTTTCACACAAATGCCCAACTGTCCGGGGGAAGAAGGAGCGACAGCGAGGGGAGCGGAGCTTATTGGCTTCAGTCTGTGGCTGTATTTTACAGTTAACTTTTTATCAGTTGGGTCCAAAGACAAATACATCACTCCACAATCCATTAAGGTGACTTTCATCCCAGATGCCTTCTCCTGGCCAGAGTTCTGTCAGCGTCTTTCCAGCACTTAATCTTGTTTTCCTCCGAAATGTTCGTATCTAATTCTATGGAGCCGATTTCTATTGGGAAAAATAATTCATAGAATAAGGGATGAAGGCATAAATTGAGAGAACTGGTTCTGGGGGAGGGGATCAGATATAATTACAGCTTTTCCTGGGCAAGGCAGTGTGCTGAAGTAGGAAGGGGGTGGAATAGACGCGAATGGACTTTAGCCAAATGCCTGCGTGGAGGCACGGGAGTGACATATTTTTCTTTATATGTTTATATTCAAGAAGGCAGGCAAGCAGTTAACCGTTTATCAGGAATAAGGGCTCGGCATGGGGTCTGGGCAAAGATTTTGGAAAAGTTCAGGTTTGAAAATTTGACAGAGTGAACTCCTGCCAAGTGGCCTTGCCTTTAAAGGGAGTTAATGAAATAATTGGCCTGGGAGTTTTAACCAAAAAAGTAGAGGCTTTGAAGTGTTGGAAGCACAAAGACAACCTCAGGGCGGTTTTATTAGCGCAGATGATCAGCAGCAGATGAGAAAGGACAAGGGCTGGGGCCTTCCTTGCAAAGCCCTGGATTTTACAAACCACGGAAGGTACAGTTCCCGCAGCCCGCGGGGAGAACTGAGCAGTGTAAATTGTCATGTCATGGACACTGCTGATGAAAGGCGTGGGGGGAGCTGTTGGGACTGGAAGGATCTTCCGAGTCTTCATTTTGGACGTGGGGAAACTGAGGCCCAACATGTGCTATCTGGGCAGTCTTAAACAGTGAGAAGTTGAAGCTTAGGAAACCGGATAGTCCCCCAGCATCAGTCAGCTTAAGCCACTCCAGACTGTTCATGGGTGCTGGCCAAGGGTCTCGTTACTGCTCTCGGGGTGGGGGAATTACTGCCTTTGACCTCTGATCGATAAGCGAGCTTGAGGGCGGAGGGCGGCGGCCAGCTGCATCCTCGAGCGAGCTGCCTGGTGAACTGCTGCCCTCTGACCCTCCCTCTGCAGCCCGCCTTCAAAGGCCTCACCTTCACCGACCTGCCCTTGTGCCTCCAACTGAACATCATGCAGAGGCTGAGCGACGGCCGGGACCTGGTCAGCCTGGGCCAGGTGGCCCCCGACCTGCACGTGCTCAGCGAGGACCGGCTGCTGTGGAAGAAGCTCTGCCAGTACCACTTCTCCGAGCGGCAGGTCAGTGGGACTCCTCCCTTCCCCCCAAGCCTGAAGCTCCTGGGCACCCTTCCCAAGAGGGAGGCGTGTGCGCCCCCAGCCACCCACCAGAGCTCCCTAGTTTGGCTAGAGAAAGGACACTCTAAAAAGGGTCTAAATAATGAGTATGGGATGTGTTTTGTCTGTCTTTTCCAGGCATTTTGACTTTAAAAAAAGAACTTACATTCTTAACCTGTTCACATTTTACAACTTGCTAAAAAAAAAATCATAAATTGGCACCCACCCTTTCCTTCTATAACAGAATAACTTGTGCTTTTATGGTGTGGTACAGTCCAAGTGCTTTTGCAGATTTTATCTTATTCTAATGATTCTGGGAATGCTAGGCGTCACGGCACCCACCTTAAGGGGCCAGCGCAGTGGCACACCTGGCTAAGATGCCACCTGCAATGCTGGCATCCTATATGGGCACTGGTTCGAGTCCTCGTTACTCCACTTCTTTTTTTTTTTTTTTTTTTTTTTTGACAAGCAGAGTGGACAGTGAGAGAGAGAGACAGAGAGAAAGGTC